CAGTATCTTTCCTATAAATCCTCGTTTTTAAAATTTAAGTTGGCCAGAATTGGTTTCTATTGCTTGCAAATAAAATAGACTTATTAAATATAACAAATTGTTGCATAATAAAAATATAAATGTGTTTGATGTTGCATTATGTCTATGTGAAAATAAATTCAAAAATAAATGATTGCTATCATCAAACTTACTTTTTTTATTTCTTGAGGAACGCTATTATCTTGTGAAGAATACAGTTTAAGAACTGCTGTTGCATAGCATCCAAGTGAATTTGACCAGGAGCGGTTGGGATATGGGTAGTGTGGAACTCAGTAAGATCTGAGCTGAAGAGGTAAGCTTGGAAAACATTAGCAAATGGGTGGTAACTGAAGGCATGTGGGAGTAAATAAGATCATCCAGGGCAAGTGTATAGTGTAAGAAGAGTAAAGGTTGAGGACAAAACTCCAGGGAATACCAGTACTTAAAGGGTTGCTGAAAGAAAGGAGTCCCACAGAGACTGAAAAGGGGATGCCAGAAAAGTAGGAGGAAAAACTAGGAGAGAGTGCCATCAGGGATGCCAAAAATTTGACCAATTTAGGAGATAGGGTATGGCCAACAGTGTCAAATGTTGCAGAGACTGTAGTTCATTTGATTTGGCAACACAAAAGTATTGGTGAACAATTGCATTGTTGAGAGTTAAAAGATTAAATGGCAAATATGAGAGCCGGGCCACAGTTGCCCATGACTTTTCCAAGAAATTTGACTCTGCTAGGGGGAAAAATAGAGTCTTATTTTATTTTATTTTATTCTATTTTATTTTGAGACGGAGTCTTGCTCTGTCACCCAGGCTGGAGTGCAATGGCACGATCTCGGCTCACTGCAACCTCCGCCTCCCAGGTTCAACCAATTCTCCTGCCTCAGCCTCCCGAGTAGCTGGGGTTACAGGCATCCTCCACCGCGCCTGGCTAATTTTTTTTTTTGTATTTTTAGTAGAGATGGGGTTTCACCACTGACCTCGTGATCTGCCTGCCTCACCTTCCAAAGTGCTGGGATTACAGGCGTGAGCCACTGCGCCCGGCCAAATAGAGTCCATTTCTAAATGCTAGAAAGGGATAGCAGAGCTGAGTGTTAGAAAACCAGAGCCTCCTGGATTTACCAGTGCTGTGCCATTATTTTCAGAGGCATTCATAGCTAATGACAAAGTAGACAGTGAACTACTACAAGGCAGAACTGGCTGCCTTGCTCATCTCTTGCCCACAATTATCACTTTCCAAACTGATGAGAGACTATTCCTGAGATACTTATGATGGAGGTAGTTGGGAGGTCCTGGTGGGGAAGGATTACATAGAAGGAAGAGTAGTTATAAATGTTTGAACTTGTTACCATTTAAACTGTGATTATAGAAGGGGTGAATGGAGTTAACCACCACTCACCATAGTCTTGGTGAGGGATGGTTATGTTTCTCCTCACCTTGGTCTTGTCTACACTGTGCTCCCTATGGAGAATTTGGACCCCTCTGCCTTGTTCCTCTCACCCAGAGAAATTGCAGTGTCTGTTGTACCTATTCCTATGCCCTTCTACCCAGCCTACTTTCTCCTGTTCTTCCCCAGATCTCCTTCCAAATAGACTGGTGTAACTGGCACAAAATGTTTGTTAACTGATTGCCAATCCAATAATAAGGGGACTGAGGTTCTTCTTTGAAGGGTGGGTTTATGTGGGGTTTTCGTATCAATTCTGACCACATGTGTAGAGCATCATTCAGCACCCTATGGGCTTTTAGCACAATCTTGCCTACCACCTGTTTTAAAATGGCCTAAAAGCTAAGAATGGTCTTCACATTTTTAAATGGTTGGGAAAAAAAAAAAGCAAATGAAGAATATTTCGTGACACATGAAAATTACATGAAATTTGAATTTTAGTGTCCATAAATAAAAAGAGGGCTGAGGACAAAACTCCAGGGAACACCAGTATTTAAAGAGTAGCTGAAAGGAAGGAGTCTATGAAGGAGACTGAGAAGGAGATGCTCAAGAAGTGGGAGGAAAAGCTAGGAGGAAACTAGGAACACAGCCACGCTCCTTAATTTACATATTGTGCATGGAGGCTTTCGTGCCACAGTTGAGTACTCATGACAGAGATCGGATAGCCCACAATGCCTAAAATATTTGCCATCTGGCCCTTTACAGAAAAAGTTTGCTAACCCCTGATTTAGGACTCTATGTGGCCGTGTCCCATATGTCTCCCCACTGGTAGTCTCATAAACTTCTTTTCTACTGTCCCGAGGGACCTGAATCTCCCCACTACCAGAACCACTAATGGGTTAGTCCCTGAATGTTGGGATACTGGGAAATGTTCTTTTGGTTTTTGGAAGGTTACAATGATTTCCAAACCCTAGTCCTTCCCTGGCACCCTGCCTCCACCACACAGACACACACATGTATACACATGGCTGTTCCAGAATATCTAGGAGGTCATGGAGTTGTTTTTGTTTTTGGCTATTACTGCTACGATTACTTGTTTATCAAAAGAGGATATGATGCCAGGCACAGTGGCATGTGCCTGTAGTCCCCAGCTACTTGGGAGGCTGAGGCGGGAGGATCGCTTGAACTCAGGGGTTCAAGACTGGAGTGAGTTATGATTGCACCTGTAAGTAACCACTGCACTCCAGCCTGGGCAACAAGGGAAACTTTGTCTAAAAGAAAAAAAAAAAATGATGGAAAGTACGAATTTTGAAAGTCTCAGAAACACTGATGGACAATATTCACATATATTAATTTCTCAGATTACTTGATTGCCACATGAGAACTTTCTCACTGCCTCTTCCCCCACCCCTTCTGTCTTTCTCTTTCTTTTGTCTAACAAACTTGAAGCATATACACTGACAGTTTCTTCCTCACCTCCCACTTAACTTCTCAGCCCACCACAATCTGGAGTCGACTCCCACTACAACACTGAAACTGCTCTCAATAAATTTGTCAGCCATCTCATAATCACCAAATCTAAGGACACTTTTCAATCCTCCCTTGACTTTTGAGTAGCATTTAGAAATGCTGACCTTGCCCTCCTTTGTGGCACACCTCTTTTTTATTTCTCTGATCTGCTTCTACCTTGTTCTTTTCTCAGTGCTCTGGATGGTCCTCATGCCACCAGATTCTTACAAACCAGGGTATTTCAGTATACTCGTTATTATCTTTTGTCTCAGTGACACACACACCCTCCTCTACTGCGTTCTGAATTGCTCAGCTTAGGAATTAGTCAGGTGTGTATTTCCCAGCCTTCCTGGACATCTGGCTTCCTGTTAGATTCTGCCAGTAGGAGGCACTGGTGGGAGATCAGAAGGCAAGAGAAACTGAGAAGCGTCCTGCTTCAGCCTCTAGAGTGACAGTTGCTGGGCATAGCTGGTGGATGTAGCAGCAGGAAGAATGGGAGACTCAGGACTCCAGCCTCCTGAGCAAAAGAAGTACCTTCTCAAGGATTCTAGCCTTGAAGGAGGTGGCACCTTTTTAGTAGATTGGAACTGACTATGACAATGTCTTTCACAAGGCAATGAGTAGATTTCCAGATTCCAGCTCAGGGATGATGGCAGCTTCTGATTTCCAGATAGCAATCTTTTTTTTGAATTTACATTTCTAGGACGCCCCTTTTTTTTTTTTTTTTTTTTTTGTACTTCTTGCCCTTTTAACACCTTTGTAACCAATTCTCTATATTAAATTCTTTCAGTCTGAAGCACGTAAAGTAGTTAAATGCTCCTGACTGGATCCTGGATAACTGGTATGAGGTTTGGGGTTGAGCCCATGCATACTTTTGTCCTTGTTTCACTTCCCACTCCTTCTGCACAGTTTACTTGGGTGATCTTATTCATGGCCTCTGCTTTGACATTTGTGCTGATGACTCTCAAATCAGGCTCTTCAGACCATACCTGGGGTCCATACCCACATGACTCACTGTGCTCCCGTGCAGTTTTAGCTGACTGTTCCACTGGCATTTCAAATTCAACATGTACAAAATCAAGCTCTTTCTCTCTGTAAACCTGCTCCCATGGCATTCTTTCCTACTTCAATTCCGTCCATCCCTGACCACCCACCCAGCCACCCACGCTGGAAATCTGAGATATCCTTGATTCCTCCACCTTCTCACTCCCACAACTAATCAGTAGCTAAACCCTTTAGATTCTACGTCCTAATTATCTCAATATTCTATCTCCTCCACCTCCTCTAATTATGACTTAATTCAGGCTCTTATCATCTGTCATTTAAATTATTGCTGTATTGCTACAGGAGTGGTGTGTGTATGTGCAAATGTTCATCTTGGTATGCTATAGACTCTTGCCCAGCAGTTTTGCCTCAATTCTTTAAAAACTCTGGTTCATTGTTTGAAATATCAATCAGAACATTTTTTCCAAAATGCTAAAATGATTGTATCATCCCCCAGTTTTAATATCCCTATCATCTGCTAAGTAAAAGCAAGCTCCTCCTTGTGGCGTAGCAGGGCCCATGTGATCTGGCCCTTGCCTGAATTTGTAGCTCATCACAACATCCCTCTACCCCACATTACCTCCTATTATACAGGAACACACAAGTGACCTTCACAACATTCATATCAGCGAGTACACAGGGTCTCCAAAGAGGACCTCTGGATGCCTGTGATCTTTGTACTTCTGCCTACCCTTTGCCCTGGAATGTTTTTCTCTTCCCTTATGTTCTGCTGGTCAAATTGTTTTTCCTTCAAGACTTAGGAGCCTGCCTGATTATGTTCCTCCTATTCCGCATCCTCGTAAAATTACTGCATCCTCATAAAATTACAAAGCACTTGGCACATTCTTATTGAATACATTACATTGTTGTGTAATTATCCCTTGGCCCCCTCTCCAAGCACTAGACTCTAAGCTGTTTGAAGGCAGACTATGCCTATTCATCTTTGTATTTCTAGCCCTGGGCCCAACACCCAGCATTTCTTGTATTTTCAGCATATTTCTGCAAAATGAATTAGAGCTAATGCCTGAAGGAGAATGATTTTTTTTTCAGAAAGAGGAAAAACCAGGAGGGAGGAGAAGGCAGGATCTGAAGAGCCCTGGGAATTTACTTCAGGAAGATGCGGTTCCCCACTGCAGCATTCTGCCAGGAGGTGGCACTGCTCTGAAGAGCCAGCTGGTGGCTTACAGCCTGAGGTTGACAGCTTGAAACCAAAGAGGGAACTCCACCACGAAGCAACATTCCTCCACTGGGCTTCCCAGCCCAGTTACATGCCATACTCTGCCCTGGTCAAACAGCCAAGTCTTCAGGAGGTTGCTAGCCCTAGGCGTCTCCCCAGTGACTGATGATGTTAAACCCTACACTTCTCTGATTGGTTTAGACAAAATGACAAGGGTAGCTATTGGAAATTATCTGGCAAAACATGATCTAAGTCCACCCTCTGGGGGAGGGAGTTGGGGAAGTGCAAGGGTTGGCTGGGTTGGTAGCTCCTACCTACTGTGTGGTGAGAAGGTATGGGTCATGAACAGAACCAAGGAGCTGCGCTGCTACAGATGCTACCACTTCTGTGGCTGCTACCCCACTCCTGGGCCGTCCCGGAAGGTAAGATGGTACTCCCATTTACTTCCATCCTGAACCTAGGGAGCCCACCCAGTGTTTGTGAGGAAAAGTGCTGTGCTTTGTGAGTGGTGGGAAGTCTTTTGAGGCAGTTGAAACAGTAGGGGAGTGGGGAGAGACAGCTACTATGTATGGTTGGTAAACGATATCAGAGATGCTTTACATGTTCATTTAAGACAAATCTCTTGAAGTGGAGATTGTTCTCTCCGTTTTACAAATGAAGAAAGTGAGACTCAGAGTTATTTGTACAAGTTTACACCATTGGAAAGTGGTAGAGCTGGGATTTGAACAAAGTGGATGTTATTTTCACTCCTCCACTCAAGATTCTACTCTGCTTTCTATCATTAACTTATCTTGTGATTCTTGAAAAGTCTCTTAGTTTCATTCTCTGTAGAGGATGGCCCAGAATGGAAGAATAATCTGGAAGGTCCCTCTTCCTCCAAATGTCTGTTTTTCTGGGTATTGGGTTAAAGGTTTCCTGCTCGCTGAGCGATTCCTGCCAAGCGCTTCAAAGAAGAGGGATTATTTTATGCAGTTATGGGGTCACTTCTCCCAGTGCTGTCTTTGGGAGGCCTGGTAGGTTAAGGAACAGAAGACATTTTCAGAGAGGCTTGGTGCCAATGAAGTGGCTGAAGAAATGGCTGGAGACTGGTTTTCCAATTTACCATTTGTGTCTGGGGGTAGTGGGAGGCAGTCCCATCTATGGCTTGGAGAGGCTGTAGCCATTCCTCCTTCCCTTCTAAGAGTGAGAAACCCATCCATGGCCTTCTCTAGTCATTACAGTGGCCTGGTGTGAATTAGACAAAGGAATCTTTGGGAGGATACAGCCCTATGCCAGGATGTGTGGCGTGGTGAGCAGAATGCAGGCTTCCACTTGCTTCTTTGGCTAGGTGTCTTTGTGCAGCCCACAAACACACAACGAACAGAGTAACTCTGAATCTGTCACTTTATTTTATATATATGCATTTTTAAAATTTTTATTTGATTAATTAATTCTTCTTCTTATTATTTTGAGGCAGAATCTCTCTCTGTCACCCAGGCTAGAGGGCAGTGACGCGATCTCGGCTCACTGCAACCACTGCCTCCAGGGTTCAAGAGACTCTCCTGCCTCAGCCTCCCGAGTAGCTGGGATTACAGGTGCATGCCACCTCATCCGGCTGATTTTTGTATTTTTAGTAGAGATGGGGTTTCATCATGTTGGCCAGGCTGGTCTCAAACTCCTGACCTCAGGTGATCCACCTGCCTTGGCCTCCCAAAGTGCTGGGATTACAAGCTTGAGCCACTGCACCCGGCCTTTATATATATATATTTTTGAGACAGGCTCATTCTGTCACCTGGGCTGGAGTCCAGTGACACAATCACAGCTCACTACAGCCCCAACCTCCTAGATACAAGCAATCCTCCCCCCTCAGCCTCCAGAGTAGCTGAGACCACAGGTACTTGCCACCACACCTGGCTAAGTTTTTATATTTTTTGTAGAGACAGGGTCTCGCTGTGTTGCCCAGGTTGGTCTTGAACTCCTGGGCTCCAGCAATCTGCCTGCCTCAGCGTTCCAAAGTGTCGAGATTACAGGCGTGAGCCACCATGCCTGGACTGAATCTGTCACTTTAGACAGTAGAACTCTTTTTACTTTTGCCAACTTTAGACAACTGGCCTTTTTATAGGCCAGGGAAGCTTGGAGAGATGCTATAATATGTTCTTCACCCCCATTGGGAGGGGGAGTCTAAATAACAGACACGGGAAAGGGTCTCACCTCAGCCCACGCTCCTTGAAGCAGGCCTTGCTTGTCTTTTTTTTGTTGGTGTTGTTGTTTTTTGTTTTGAGACAGAGTCTCACTCTGTCACGCAGGTTGGAGTGCAGTGGCTTAATCTTAGCTCACTGCAACCTCTGCCTTCCTGGTTCAAGCAATTCTCCTCCCTCAGCCTCCTGAGTAGCTGGGACAACAGGCGCCCGCCACCGTGCTCAGCTAATTTTTTGTATTTTTAGTAGAGACAGCGTTTCACCATGCTGACCAGGCTGGTCTCTAACTCCTGACCTCGTGACCTGCCCACCTTGGCCTCCCAAAGTGCTGGGATTACAGGCATGAGCCACCGCGCCCAGCCCCACCTTGCTGTTTTTTAAGTTGGAAAAGAAGGCTCCCACCTCCCTGAACCTCACCCTATGTCCTTTGCAGCTCCTACTCCAGTGTGGCGAGATGACCTGCAAAACCACACGTTCCTACACACAGTGTACTGCCAGGATGGGAGTCCCAGTATGGGACTCTCTGAAGCCTACGACGAGGACCAGCTTTTCTTCTTCGACTTTTCCCAGAACACTCGGGTGCCTCGCCTGCCTGAATTTGCTGATTGGGCTCAGGAGCAGGGAGATGCTCCTGCCATTTTATTTGACAAAGCATTCTGCGAGATGATGATCCAGCAAATAGGGCCACAACTTGATGGGAAAATCCCGGTGTCCAGAGGTCAGGAGTTTTCTGGGGAGTGAAGGGAGGAGGGCTGCATTCTTAACCTCATTGATCTGTACACTGAATAATTCCCCTTGATACCAGCTCCCCATCTCAAATACCTTCTGGTTCTCTCCATCACCTTAATTTTTCCACCAGCCTTGGTCTGCACCCTGTGTTTTTTGGTGGGCAGAAGTACCTAGCATGTAGTAGGCATTCAGAACTATGTATTGAATGTGATGAATTCAACAGGTACCAGTTGATACCTACTGAATATTAACACTTGTGCTGCTATGCCCAGCAAGATGGATGGGAAGAGTGGAAATATCTGATGATGTGACTATGTCTTAGTGAGAAGACAGTGCATGGTTGGACTCAATGTGAGCTCTAGACAGGAAGTGCTGAAGGAAGTCATGGTGGAGGGGTCCAGAGTAGCCTGGATTGGGCTCTGCTTCTAGGTCTAGCTGCAGTCCTTGCCTGGAAGAAGACCTCCCTTGGGAGCCCAGCTCCTCCCTCATCTCTGTCTCCCAAAGCCTGACCCACTGTGTTCTTCTCTGCCCTCCCCTCCATATGCCATGCACCCTCCAAACACAGAGATACCGTCTAAACTAGTCTCTTTTTTCCCCCACACCACAATTCCCCCGCCAGGGTTTCCTATCGCTGAGGTGTTCACGCTGAAGCCCCTGGAGTTTGGCAAACCCAACACGTTGGTCTGTTTTGTCAGTAATCTCTTCCCACCCATGCTGACAGTGAACTGGCAGCATCATTCCGTCCCTGTGGAAGGATCTGGGCCTACTTTTGTCTCAGCTGTCGATGGACTCAGCTTCCAGGCCTTTTCTTACTTAAACATCACACCGAAACCTTCTGACATTTTCTCCTGCATTGTGACTCACGAAATTGACCGCTACACAGCAATTGCCTATTGGGGTGAGGCTTTCTCCCTGGAAGTCTGGTCCTTTTGGGGGCAAAAAGGGATAGATCCATGGGAGGAGTCTTCTTTCTCCACTGGTACCTTGTTTAGTCCATTCCTACCCTAAGCCTATCCCAATCTTCCATGCCTCAGTTTCTCCCATGTCATCCCAGACACCCAAGTCATTCCCCTGGGAGGGAGGCTCCCTAACTAGGTCCCCAGGCTGAGCCACTCCTTATTTCCTCCAGTGCCGCAGAACGCACTACCCTCAGATCTGCTGGAGAATGTGCTGTGTGGCGTGGCCTTTGGTCTAGGTGTGCTGGGCATCATCGTGGGCATTGTTCTCATCATCTACTTCCGGAAGCCTTGCTCAGGTGGTATGTCATCTGGAGGGGGCGGGTGAGCCGTGGGAGCCAGATACGGTGGTGCATGTGTGCATGTGTCAGCATTATTTTGTGGCATGGGGGGGACACAGCGATCCTCAGGCTCTTGGGTGTGGGGGCCTGTATCCAGCACCATGGGAGCACATCTTCCCAGTTGGGGACCCAGTTACACACATACAGTTATGGGTCACAAGAATGGCTTTGAGTGAAAAAAGGAATCATGGGGTGCTGTAGGAAGGGTGCTTGGAGATGATCTGGGAACAAGGAGAGATCAACCTCTGCAGGGTATGCTGAAGGCAGGGCGAGCAAAGCCTTTGGGGAGGAGGAGGAGAAGGAGGAGGAGGAGGAGGAGAAAGAGGAGAAGGAGGAAGAGGAGGAGGAGGAGGAGAAAGAAGAGGAGGAGGAGGAGGAGGAGGAGGAATCCCCTGATGCCTTTCCTCCATCCCTGTCTCTCCCCAGACTGATTCTTCCAGACCAGAGTTTGATGCCAACAGCTTCGGCCATCCACACAGAGGATGCTCAGGTTTCTCAGGATCTCTTCTTCTCAGGGTAGAAGAAGTCTCTGGGACATCCCTGGGGTGTGTGTGTGTAGATTTCCCACCTGGGGACTCTGCTATCTCTGGGCTTGCATCCCAGGGATCCCAGAGTGGCCTGCCTATCACAACCACATCCCTTCCCTGCACAAGACAATAAATCATCTCATTTCTTTATATCAGGGTGGCTTCTTTCTTAACTCACAGTTTTGTTTCTGGATAGCTCAACTTTAGTGGGTTGTCGTTTCAAATTCAGCATGCCTTAACCTGAACACAGCTTGCCCTCGTTAGGGAGGGAAATAGGGAAAACCCCTAATTTGCCGGCTGAGTTCTTATTCCCTGGTCTTGGCAGTACATGATGTTTTTCCTTCTATCGGTTTGTGCAAAATATGTGAGAAATGAAGGAAGAGTTATTTTCTAATAATCTGCTTACCAAATGGTTAAGGAAGCTGCTTGTGCGGGGTGTGTGTGTGTGTGTATTCTACTGTTTGTGAAAATGTTTATGTCTTGTATAGGCTGCCCTGAGGAACATATAACTCCCTTCAACCCTCACCGTAACTGGGAAACGGAAGCTCAGGGATGGGTAGAGTAAGCCCCCAGGTGCAGTTCCAGTCAGTCATGTCAGTTCTGGGAAAACAGTATCATGAAGCCCCTAACATGAAGTGAAAACAGCCTGGAAGGGCAAAGAATTCACATGTCTTTCCTCACAATCTGTCCTTGGCCTGAGTGAACTGTCCAAGGAGAACTGCACAGGTGCTGTCCTGGGCAGATAATGAAAGCTGGCAGCACATGACCACTGGTGGTAAATTGCTTTGCATATGCTTTCTTTCTTGCATTCCTTAGGGTCTGGGAGTTGCTTTGGATGACAGGGTGGCAATAAAGTTGAGAGGGCAATTACTTGGTGAGGGAGTTTCTGTTCTTGGCATTGTATTAGAGTCTAATCTAAAATAAAAATTCCCCCTAAGAGAAGTTAGCACTGTCTCTGAACCGTCTCATTTCTAACAGCATCATGTGTGCTGGTTAAGAAGCACGGGCTCTGGAACCAGACTGCTGGGGATTCCATTGTAACTGTCAGCGTTTAGCTGTGAGCCCTTGAGCAAGTTACTTAACTTGTGCTTTGGTATCATTTTGTGTAAAAGGATGATGATAACAATGGTGTCCACCTTACCACCGTGTTGCCAACATTTGAAAGTCAAATAAATATTAGTGAGGATAAAGGGAAAGGTGAACTCTAATATCTTGGTCTGTTGGTGGGATTGTAAACTGTTTATGACCCTTGAATTACAGAAATTATAAACTAGTTGAGTGAAAAAATTAATATAGGAAATAAGGCAGCATATCCTCATGCTGTGAAGCTTAAATAAGTTAATATCTATAGAATGCTTACAATAGTGTTTGGCATACACAAAATGTGCTCAATAACCTAATTTTATCATTACTTGTCTTGATCTTCAGAGGAGAACTTAGTTGCCTCGTAGACTTCTTTCTCTTTTCTGAAATACACCTTAATACTAGCTTCAAGTATTGTGTTTTCTCCATTTTAGATGTTTTTCTTTTTATTCTTACTTTACTAATTCTAGATATGGTGCTTTCTAGTTCTTCCTAATTTCTCTCTCTCGCTCTCTATTTTCCAACTTATCTAGATATTTCCTGTCAGGCAAGCTTTAAAAGTGTTTTATTATGCTGTGTGACCTTAGACAAGTCACTTCCCCTCTCTGGGCCTCAAAGTCCTCATCTATAAAATGATGGGCTTAGATTAGATGCTCTCTGAACAAACCTTCTATGATACTGTTACTTAAGTACTCTAGAAGCACTCAGTATCCTCTCTAGTCTGGTGCCCCTTTTCTAATAAAAAATATTACTCACTATTCCCAGCAGGAATGATGTTCTTGAATGAATCTTTTTTCCTCACTCTTTCTTGAGGTATTATATCTGTTTTTGGTTTAGGGCATTTGCCAAGGCTCTTTCCTCTCACAGGAATGCCTTCTTTATTCTGCTTATCTTGTTCCTGTCTTAACCCACTCCATAGGTCCAACTCCAGTTCAACTTATTCCATGAACCTGCCCCTAATTTCTCTTTACTGAAATCTTCCAAGACTTAAAGCACTCAACCTAAGGATTGGGATATGCCGCTTTATTTCCTATGTTAATTTTTTTTCACCCAACTAGTTTATAATTTCTATAATTCAGGGATCATAAACAGTTTATACTCTCACCAACAGAGCAAGATAGTTCACATTTCCCTTTATGCTCACTAATACTTGTAATTATTTGACTTTTAAATGTTGGCAACATGGTGGGTATAGAGTGGTATTTTGTTGTTTTAATTTGCTTTTCTCTCATTACTAATCAGTATCACATTGTTTGATGATTTTGGCTTTTTAATATGTGTTACTATTTAGTAGAACTAGTCTCCATTCCTTTACCATCTTCCCCAAAAACTTATTTTTCTTTTCTTTATCAAAATATTCTAAGATACTCTTGGACTATATTTCCATGTACATTTTATAATCAGTTTGTTAAATTCTCCTGAAATCCTACTGTTACTTTAATTGGGGTAGCATTTAGGTTAGAGATGTGGGGAGAGGTTGTCATTATGTTAGCATGGCCTATCCATGAATATGGTATATCTCTACACCTCTCAGGTCTTTGTGCACTTCAATAAAGTTTTCTTTTTTCTTAAAATTCTTATATTTGATATGTTAATTCATAAATATGCTATGGTTTTTGTTGTTATTATAAAAGGTAGGCAATTTGCAGTTATTTTCCAATTGATTATTAGCAATACAGGATTTAAAGTAAGAAATCCTGAGTTCAAGTAATGATTCTATTACTTAGTATCTGGGTGAACCTCAGCAACCACTTAACCTCCCTCTGCCTCCATTTTCTCATGGGTAAGATGAAGATAGCATTCTTCAATAGTTGTGGTGTTAAAAAATAAAAATAAAAAAGGAAAAATAGTTGTGGTGGCAAATCAGATAGACTATCCCCTAGTAGTTCAAGTAATTTGGCTGTAGGATGGAAGGATGGTGAACTGACTACAGAAACTATAATCCAAAGGTCAGATCTAGAGCAGTGAATCCTGACAGGGTAGGAGGGTGTGTGTGTGGGCGGAGGTGAGGTAAGGCGTAGATGGCAGGAGTGGGGTGGGAATTGGACAGATTGGGCAAGTAATATAATCTTGGCAGGATGTAGGTATGTGTAGTTTTGAAAAGACACCAAAGTCATGAATGTGGTCTTATGCTATGAGGTATGATTAACTGGTTGAGCAATTTTGTGTTTATAAAATGGAGACTTCAGTTAAAACCATCTGCCCCAAAGAGGAACCTGAGAACTGACATGGAGCAACTTTAGGAAGTGCCTAGAAGAGACTTATTATTATGGCCATACTCTCAGAAAAACACAAGAGATTGCATTTGTGACTTCCTCCAATGTGCAGTGCCAGTGATGTTATTGTAGCTTGTCTTTGTTTTAGCTACCCCAAGCTCCTCGTAGGACACCTCCTCCCTGATGGCACCTCACAGCATTGTCAAGCTTGTGAAGCTATACACCAGACCTACGATGCCAACTGCCTTCGTCCTCTCCATCACAAATCCAGCCCAGTATTCAAGGCTCATTCCAGGTCCTCTTGATTGAGAGTACTCCCTGTCCACCATGCCCATGGTGATTTCTCTCTTCTTTTTTAAGACCACTGGCCTTATTGCTCTCTTATTGCTTACTTGCTTTAATATAAACTATTTTAAGTGTTTGTTCTCACTCCCCAACTGACCTACAAGCAAAGTGATACGGGAGCAGAATCCATATCTTCTCATTCTGAATGTTCCCAGTAATGCTTTGCACACAAACCCTGGGACTAGTCCCCTGCAGGCATGTGGTGGCCAGGCTAAGGGCAGAGGCAGTGGGAAAGGAGAGGACTCACTCTTTGGGTGGTTGTGTAGAGTCAGTAAAAGAAAGGCAACATGTGGGAACCCGGTTGGGGCTCCATGCCTCTTCAGTCCTGGTGCTATATCAATAATTAACAAAAAGCAACAATGGACAGAGCAATTGAGATGTTATTTTGGATTGGCTGGAGGTGGGAAGACAGAGCTATATCTGTAAAAATGGAAGGACTGGGAGGAGGAGAGGAAGGAAAACACTGCTGAGCACAGGTGTCTGGGTTTTCTGTCCTTCTTTATTCTAAAAAGCTCCCTCAGTGTTTGAATTAATAGAGAAGTGAAATCTTCTCTTGTCATCTCCTGTTGTGGCCTCACAGAAGGTTTCACATCTCCTTTGACTGCTGGAGCAGAGATCTAGACATAAGAGGGAACTACATTCACTGTTACTGGCTACGGCCATGTTCAGTGCTGGCACAGGACCACACAGCCAGTGCCCCCTTGCCAGGGCTAGGCTTTGTAGACATTGAAAAGGATCCCAGGACTTGGTTCCTATAAGGTTACGATAACAGCTTACCTGGACAGGATGGGGAGGAATGTGAGGGGGAAATGTATGGAGTCGGGGGCGTGGGGGAAAATTCAGTTTTAAAACTTGTCAAAAGAGAAAGTGGAAGGGACGGTGGTTCTCAGAGCAGAAGGAACTCTGAGGACGGGAAAGATAAGACTTGGGTGAACTGGGTTATGGATTGTGACTCTTCTCTTTCTCCCTTTCTCAGCAGAGGCCTCACTGACTCCCTTTATCTGAGCCATCCCAGTTCCAGGATGTAGTGAGTGTGTGGCATGCTCAAGTGTGTGTGTGTGCGCGCACGCACGCATGCACATGCATGTGTAAGAGCTGTATAAGAGGAGTTACAACCTTTAGACCTTGGGTGTGAATCTTTGGACCTGTTTTCCAAGCTGGGAAATGAGGACAATTAACAAGTTTTTTGTGTGTGTGATTTTTTTTTTTGAGACGAGTCTCACTCTGTCACCCAGGCTGGAGTGCAGTGGCACGATCTTGGCTCACTGCAACCTCTGCCTCCCAGGTTCAAGCGATTCTCCTGCCTCAGCCTCCAGAGTAGCTGGGATTACAGGCACGCGCCACCATGCCCGGCTAATTTTTGTATTTTTAATAGAGACAGAGTTTCACCATGTTTGCCAGTCTGGTCTCGAACTTCTGACCTCAGGCGATGTGCCTGCCTCGGCCTCCCAAAGTGCTGGGATTACAGGTGTGAGTCACCACATCTGGCCAACAAGTCTTTTAAGA